TGCTTATGTGGTGCTGAGGAATCGAACCCAGGGCCTCATGCATGCAAGGCAAGTGCTCTACCACTGAGCCACCTTCCCAGCCCTGTCAGATGTTTTTCTTAAGATATTTATCCAAGACATGTTTATCCAGAGCTCCAGAAAATCATTAGTGTAAAAAAACCAACATGATTTGCTCCTAGAGCCTAATGAGGAGTGAGAGACTTTAAGTACTTATGAACACAATGTTTATTTTTAGCTTCTTCTGGCTCTTGGTTTCCATGCCTTCATGCCCCTATGTCAGCCTCCCTAGACTCAAGGCTTCATTTCCTTTGCATAGCACATTGCCTACCACCAACACACAGGACTTGTTTGTTTCTGAGCTTGTTGTTCTTTTTTCTTTTCTGATTTTTGTTCTATTTTTGCCGATCTAAAATCCCTTCTCCTCCATTGAAAGAAAAAAGGCCCGAAGAAAGGAAGGAGAAAAGAAAGAACTCGGGATTTAACAAAGAGCTAAAATAAGATTTGGGAGTCACCAGTAATCGTGACTTTACTGCTCATAGAAGAAACTCTTAAATTTCTTTGGTAATATTTCCATTATAGTACTATTGCATAGGAGAAATCTAATATTCAAAATTTACCTGTGAGCTCAAATGCTCTTCCTTTTGTTGGACAGAAGCTATTTATTTTACAGAGGGTTTGAAGAAGAAATGGAAGGCTTAAAGAGAATGTGTTCACATCTAGGTTTGACCTTCCTTAGCATATAAAGAAAAAAGCACAGGAATATTGTCATTCATCTGAATGCTGTGGGTAGATTTAAGAAATGATAATAAAAAAAATGTATGTCTCCAGGTTTATAGAAAAATCTCCTACCTGCATCTGGTCCGGCTGAAGCTCAAAAATACCCTGAAACATTATAATAAATTACATTTAGATCATGGCAGAAGACAAGAAAAGCCTAGATCAACTAGCTTGATAATTATTTATGAAGAACATATAAAAGAAAATTCAGAGCCAGGCGCCAGTGGCTCACGCCTATAATCCTAGCTACTCAGAAGGCTGAGATCTGAGGATCGCAGTTCACACCCAGCCTGGTGAAGAACATCCATGAGACTCTTATCTCCAATAAACCACTAGAAAACCAGAAGTGGTGCTGTGGCTCAAGCAATAGAGTACTCGCCTTGAGCTGAAGAGCGCAGGGACAGTGCCCAAGCCCAGAATTCAAGCCCCACGACCAACCCTCCACCCCGCCCCCCCCCAAAAAAAAGACAGGCCTTGGGTTTAGGGTATCTGTTTTGCTTTAAAGGCATGTGGACTTGGAAAAGCCTGGGAATGGCTTCTAGCTATGTTTGCTGAAAACAGACTTGAGAGAAAATACTCTTTTGTATATACAGGTTGAGCATCATTTATTCAAAATACTTGAGACTTGGGAATATTTGGATATGTATAATGAGATATCTTGAGGATGAAACCTAAATCTCAATATGAAATTTGTTTATTAATTCATAAGCTATGTGTATGATATATATATATATATATAATATAAGATTTCCAATAATTTTATGCAAGAAACAAGGTTTTATGGTGTGGATTCCTCCACTTGTAATGCTACGTCAATGAACCTCAAAGTTTACATTTTGGAATGATGAGGATTATAAATTCTCAGATAAGGGATGATTAACCTATACTACACTTTTCTTGAGAGAGAAAGGCTTGGTGTATTGCTATTAATCTCAGTAACTATAGTTATAGGTGGTAATAATGGAGGAGTAAGTCATCATGGTTGGAAGCACTAAAACATAGTGCTTCCAAAGCTCCTTTCCAAAGGTCAATAAGAGGACCACCATGGTAAGTTCTGAACAATCAGAGGCAAAAAAATAATGTTAAATTTGGCAGGCTCCAAATACACTGGTTAATATGACCTTTGTGTCATTCTACACTGTCTTCTTCAAAACCATAATATAATAATCTAGGAAGCAGAACAATTAAGAGCAGAGAGTAAAGACTGGAATGAACTAAAAGAAATGAACATCGGAAAAAGAAAGGAGAGTATTTATGATCTTCTCATTCCTCCATATATAAAATGAATCCACATATAAAATATTCCAGTTCCCCTAAGTCCCCAGCTTGCCAGATGGAATGAATTATGAAGCAGCATCTTGTGGAATGGGCTTAGATAGAAGATCACCACTCAGAGCTGTCTTTTATCACTTCATTTGCTATCCTCTCCGTGGATCCTTGAGTACATTTAAACATTTCCCATTTACTTATATTCCTGATTTCTGAAGACAAGATGCCATTTTTCATTTCTAGCTTTGTTATCTAGCTGTCTTTTATGTTTTCAGATTCACGTACCTCTCTAATAATCTTACCTCCATTTTAGTAGGAAATATCATTAAATAATGAATCTTTCTCTCTTTTCTTATTTCTTTTTCTTTTTTTTTTTTTTTTTTTGGTCCTTGGGTTTGAACTCTGGGCCTGGGTGCTGACCCTGAGCTTTTATGTTCAAAGGTAGTGATCTAGCACTTAAGCCATAGCTCCACTTCCATGATATTTTGGATTTTTGTTGTTGTTGTAGTTTAGAGTTTCCTGCCCAGATTAGTTCAAACTGCAATCCTCATATCTCAGCTTCCTGGGTAGCTGGGATTACAGATGTTAGCCACTGGTGCCCAGCAGAAATGAATTTTTTTCTCAATATGGATGAGGAAGAACATTATAGACTTCTCTGGAAAAGCTCTTCTACTCACCAAATTCCCATTCATCTTGGTGGCTTGCAGCGTCCATCGTGAGCCCTAGGGTGAACAATAGAGGTTAGTATGAAAAAAATCCCTTCCCTATGAGAATAAAGTGACTAGGAAAAGGGTAGATTTCCAAAGAACTAGTCTTGGGCTGGGAATTTGGCTCAGTGGTAGAGCGCTTGCCTTTCATACATGAGGCCCTGGGTTCAATTCCTCAGCACCACATAAGCAGAAAAAAAAAAAAAGCCGGAAGTGGCGCTGTGGCTTAAGTAGTAGAGTGCCAGCCTTGAGCTGAAGAGCTGAGGGACAGCACCCAGGCCCAGAGTTCAGGCCCCACGACTGGACCAAACAAAACAAAACAACAACAACAAAAAAAAACTAAAGAACTATTCTTACCTGTTGATCCAAAAGAGCCCAGAACATGGGCAATGGGATATAAAGAAACAGGACTCTAGTTAGAGCTTTCACATCCATAATGAGCTGCTTCTGCAGGGAAGAAGAATGAGAAGAGAGAACTTGCAGAAAGTCCAAACATATTTTTCTTTCTTACAATAAAAATGGCCCAAACCAGTAAAAATAGAAGAGGACAAATGCAGCTGGAGATCAGTTTTAAAGACTCCATAGAGCTATGAGATGTTTCTGCAGTTTCACTTACTGGATATTTCTCAGCTGCCCAGTCCAGCCAGTGCTGTCGCTTCGGAATGTCCTCAGAGCGGTTATTGAAGCGGTTGGAAATAGCAAACTAGTGCAGAACATACACATTAGAGAGAGAGAGAAAGAGAGAGAGAGAAAGAGAGAGAGAGAACATCTCATTATTTTTTAATGCATTATCCCTTCCCTCAAACACATACACTTTTAAGAGTTACTCTTAGATCTCATTAGACATTGAATTTCAGAATATTTAAGATATAATTTTATCTTTCCTTATGTGCTGTTAACATCATATGTGGTGCACTCAGAAGGGTTTATTTGGTGTCAATTTTTGAAAATGGTTACATGATTTTTCTATTTAATGATAAAGTAGAAGCACAGAGAATGATCATTGAATCTCAGCTTGTCAAAAGACATGCAAGTCGAACAGAAATCACTAATAAAAATATATGCCCAGCTGGGCAATGGTGGCTCACACCTGTAATCCTAGCTACTCAGGAAGCTGGGATGTGAGGACTGTGGTTCAAAGCCAGCCCAAGCAGAAAAGACTGTGAGACTCTTATCTACAATTAACCACCAAAAAACTGAAAGAGGAGTTGTGGCTTAGGGGAGTTGTGGCTTAAGTGGTAAAGCACTAACCTTGAGCACAAAAATTCAGAGACAGCACTCAGACCCTGAGTTCAAGCCCTAGGCTTGGTACTATATAAATATATATGTCTGCTCATGTTTGAAGACCCATATGCTCAGCACATTATCTGTTTTCTGTTTATTGAAAAAGTAGGTAAATAATTCAAAGTCTTACCCAGATACATTTGATAACTTGACCCACTATATTTCCTTCTGGAGGTGGTTTTCTATACATCTTGCTTCCCATTGCAAACACAGCTGTAATCAACACAAAAACAGTGCTCTGAGTTCTAATTCATTCAATATGTCAGTGCTAAGGCCAGACTGCTGATCTATATGAGTGACTAATAAATCTCATAAAGAGGGTACTGACTTCATAGGAGTGAAGAGAAGATAAAATGAACATTTTTAATACATGAAGAAATAGAAGATAAAAGAAATTAACATTACCTTACTCACATAACTGTAACCCCTCTGTACAGTACATTTACAATAAAAAATATTTAAAAAGAAATTAAGCAACTTTTACAAGAGTACATGATAGAAATTGCCTTAACTTCGTGGCCACCTGGTGTTCTATTACTTGAGCCATGCTTTTTGCTGATTATTTTGAAGATCGAGTCTCACACACTTGTCTACCCAGGCTGGCTTTAAACTATGATCCCCTAGATCTCAGCTTCCTGAACAGCTAGGATTACAGGCTTGAGTCAAGTTTTAACTGCTACCCACATACCACATACTCATGGTTCAAGATCTGTATCTATAGGTCAAACACTTCCTGTAAAGTCAACCATCAA